TCGGAAGCAATGTCATGAACCAAGTCTTGTCTCGGTCTTTCAAGGTGTAAGGGAAGTGTTGTCTCCAATGATAGGTCGTGCAAAGTACCTCATGTTCAAGGGAGGTGGTGGAAGTTGGTCTACTTGTCCCGCCATCGATTCGGTTTCGGGTTCCGGTTGTGGTTCCTCGATGTTAAGCTCAACGAAGAGATCAAATGGTTGTGTCTCCTTTACGGGTCTACCTCGTCGTCTACTTCGCATAAAAACAAACAACCACTATACCCATGAACGCATCAATGTGAAACAAGGTTAAACACAAGCAACAAAAACAATAATTACCTAGAAAATCAAGAGAAATAGAGAAAAATACGGAAATTAAGCAAAAATCACAAAAAGCAAGAGAAACACGAGAAAAATAGACAATCAAATAGCAAACTAGGCGTCCCACTTGCCTTCCCCGGCAACGGCGCCATTTGTTTAGTAAAATTTTGCGGTGGGTAAAGGATAATCGAGGTACCCGACTCGGGTCGATCTCGAGGGAAGGTTATTCGGAGCTTTATCTACTAAATGATTGTCCAAATCACAAAAAGGGAAAATAAAGTCCTAAACATTCTAATCAATTGATTGGATGGTTGATTAACACTAAACGAGCATTTGAAAACGAGCAATTAACTAAAAGTAAGATCAAATCACGAGCAATTAGCAAACTAGATCACCGGAGTCTCACGCCATAACCATAACGGGATGATAATCACTCGACAAAACGGAATAAACGAGCTACGAGGATTAGATTGCTAACCCTAGTCGTCTAATCGAGATCAACGAGCAATTAACGACTCTATCTACTCAAGCAAGCAATCAAGTACAAGCATTTCCTCCATCATCAATCAAATCCAAATTTACCCTAATGAACATCATAAGTAAAAATGGAGAAAAACCGAAGTAAAGAGCTTTAAAACTAAATACTCATTCTTCCATTGCATAGACGATGAAAAACGGAGTCAAAAGCTCGAAACTTGAAAGAAACTGAAGTCGCCGAAAAATCTCCCGGAAATAAGCATAAGCTCCTGTTTCCCAAAGTGGGAAAAGTGAAAAATGAGAGATGGATCCCCAAAATACAAAGGAACAAAAATATTTATAGTCCAGCCCCAACACACACTAGAAAAATGCACATTTAAT